TTCATTTAGGTGTTGAGTCATTGATGCCCCTTCCGCCATCCGCAAATTGAATAATCGCCTCATCAAGTGAACTTTGTTTGAGGCTGATGGCTTCTCATACATACTGGAGAGAGCCGTCATAAGACCCGTCGTGGTCTTTTCTTTTGCTATGTTGAAAGCAATATTGCGGGATAACGTCAGTCGGACAACTCTGAGGGCTTGTCTATCGAGAAGAGCCCAGTCTTCATTCTTCATGCCCTCTGGTTGCTTTCCCGAGAGGGGTTGATATATATTTTTCTGGTACAGAAAATCTTCAATCTGCATCTTCCAAAAGCCAAAGTCTGCACCATCAAACTTTTCAATTTTTACCTTCCCTTCGTCTGCAGCCATCGCTCCCACTCGAATCTGGATTCGTTTGGATCGTTTCTGACAATTCTTGCAAACTACCGTGTATTAGAACACCCCCGTCGACAAATTCGTATTGCCGACAAAATTTCACTATTCACGAAACTTACTATTCACGTGAATAGTAACCTCGCAAAAAAATTGACAAAACTTACAACCAAAAGCTTGATACCAGTTGTTGGGAAAATAAACCGAGTACGAGTAATTTCCTATAATCAGATTAGTGAGAATGCGAAATAAAAGCGGAAAAATAATACCCGAAATTGATAACGGAGTTCAGCCAATTGTGCCTACGTCTCCGGACTGCTGCAGATCTTTTACTAAAGAGAAAATTTACAAGTGTTTACAAAACACTCACTACTCACAAGAAAGCTCTCTAGTATTGGGAGAAAGAAATGATTTTTGAGATTTTGGATGATTTTGAAGCTAAATGATCTAGGGTATTTATAGTTGAAACTTAAGGACTTAATCTTGTAAATACCCTAAAGCCTAAGGATTAATTGTGATTATCCCATTATCATTTTTCAACAAACATCTACTAAACTTTGAAAAACTATTTTTCAAAGAAACATTTACCAAACTTTGAAAACCATTTTCAAAGAAACATTTACCAAACTTTGAAAACCATTTTTTCAAAGTTTGTTGCCAAACTTGAAAATCAATTTAACAATACTTTCAACAGTTTCCACTTTTCATTTTTCAGCAGCAAATGGCAATTCCATTCCAACATTTAATTGGTGTTGGTCTCATGCTCTCTAGGCTCAAATTTCTTTCTTTCTTCTCTCTTCCTCTGCTCTCAAATTTTTTCCTTTTCCAGTTTTCCACCCGAGCTCCCCATGGTTACGTCAAAATCCAACTGAAAGGAACCCCAGGGGTGCGATGTCACTAAGCTTTAGCAAATCAAAGACATCGTCGTCGACGTCGATGATTATCAGAATATCAATGTTGATGGACCCGCCATGACAAATGATCGACTCGGAGTTGAATTCTCTGATGTCCAGATTGATACAAACAACAGTGGAAATGAAAAGGAAGATTTTAGTTCTGATTCCGAGATTAACAAAATCAACGACTCCAACACTAAGCAGAAGGTTAATCTCAATGGTAGTAATGGCTATAGCAATTACATACCATCCATCAAGCCTCAAGCTCCTTCCCAACTCGGATCACCGCATCAACTCCACATTAAAAGCTTGACGCGCGGTAAGATCAAGGACATGGAGCAGCGTCGCGCTTTGCTACCAGTCCGGCAGCTGGGGCGCGCTCACGTACATCAACGACAACCAGTCGATGAACAAAACGTTGACGTTTCTGGACTCTTTGACGCAGCACACAAGCAACGCGTTAAGCATGATGGTCGCTAGATAATCGACAGTCAGTATTTGCTAACTCAAAAACAGCCGGTGGCGCATTTTTTATCCAAAATATATTAGTTGTCTCCGACCTATTGGCCGCTGCTGATGCACGAGGCCACCGACCACTCCATTCTCTTCTCCCGACGAAGAGACCCATCGTGATGGCCGAAGGTTTCATAGAGGTTTGAAGAGGAAACCAATGGCTCTGATCAAGAAATTACACAAGGCTTGAGTATTATATTTTCCTAATTTTTTATTAATGAGGAGTTAACTGATACTTTGCAGTTTGTATATGCGCGTTTAATCCATGGATTTGCATTTGTTCTATTTTTAGAGTAGAAACGCAATATGCATTTGTAGGATACTCTGGGATTTTCTTTGGCTTTGTAAAAGATAAAAAGGTGATATCAAAGTTGGAGGCCTGTTATTGTTTCCAAGCCACTTCATTAGCTGTTTCCATGCTAAAACTTGCCTCCAGAAATCATCTTGGCATTGACATATGCTAACTTTTGAACCTGAATCTCCACTATGGGTTTTATATTGCCTTCCATTTGGCATATTATTTTGGATAAAATGAGTGCAGCTTGTAAGCATTTCAATAATGGCAGTAGACCAATGATATTTAATTGTTTGAATGTGCAGTGTTCTATTTAATTAAAAAGCATCTTTGTTTACTTTAAATTACTCTTTGCAACCTTCAAATTAACTTTAATTTAATCATTAATCTCTTCAATTTTTTTTATTTAATTTTTTCTCATTTTATTTTATTTTATTCTATTATTTAACAGTAATTTGATATTTTTAGGATAATTTCAATAAATCAAAGGTAATTAGTTTGTATTGAATTTTTTAAATTTTAATTTTAATTTTAATTTTCGCAATTAAAGACAACCGACAAATTAATTGGTATCGAAAGGGCGGTTCAAGGGTACTAATCCTTCCTTGACCGTAACCGACTCCCGAATCCGACACGTTTCTGATACAACGTAGATCAAGTAAGATGGTGTCCGACCCACTTAAATTTGTTTTAAAGTGGTCGATGACGACTCTAACCAGTTATTTCAAGTCGAATTCCAATTCCGGGGCCCAAACGAAAGACGGTTCCGACAGATGGAATGATGCGAGACGAGATACAAAAGGCTTGTGCCTATGGGCTTTAGGTGCCGGGTGCAACGCCCTTCGGCCCAAAGTATATGCATTTTTAGAAATTTAGTTATTTAATAATACATAATTAATTTTAATTTTTAACATAATAAAATATTAAATTAAATATTAATTACTTAATAAATTTTATTAAATATAAAAATTATTTTTTTATAATAATTATAAATTTTAAATTGATAATAAAATAAATTTGTATCATTTAAAAAATAAATGAAATAATAGTTTTTAATATTAAAAACATTAAGTATAAATCAATAACAATGTAGATTTTGGTGAAATGAGATTAAAATATATTTATAAAAATAAATAAAATAATAATTTTAAATATTAAAAATTTTAAGTATAAATCAATACATTGTAGACAAATGTTTTAGGAGTTAATCGGTGGGTAATGATTATAAATATACTCATACAATTAATTTATAAACATTTTAGCATAGATATGTTTATAATATTGTTTCAAGTGTAAAATATGTTCTATAACTAATTTATAGGTTTTTTAGTATAAAAGTGTGTCTTGCCTACGAAAAACGCGTGCTTGCGCCTTGCGCCTAGGCTCCAGGGACCTTTTGTGCCTAGTTGTGCCTTGCGCCTTTTAAAACCAAGGGCAACATTGTTGATATTTTAGTTACAACCGATTTTCTCTTGTTAATTTGAGTTTTCTATTTGATGGCATGCCATCACTCTTGATATTTTAACTAGGACCGAATTTCTCTTGTTAATTTGAGTTTGTATCACTCAAAATGTTTTTGGTTTCCTTTGCCTAGGTATCCAAAGACAAGTGCTTGGGATATCATGTTGGGAATGAACGTATGGGGTACCATATACAACATGATTTACATGTTTGGCTGGCCAAATGGTAGTGGCTTCAAGGCAGTCCAGTTTTGCAAGCAGCATCCAGAAGCTGCTTGGGATATCCTCCTCTATTGCCTCTGTGGCACAGTCGGCCAAAATTTCATCTTCCTGACCATAAGTCGATTTGGCTCCTTGGCTAACACAACCATTACCACCACCCGCAAATTTGTCAGCATCGTGGTGTCTTCTCTGCTGAGTAGCAATCCACTTTCGCCAAAGCAATGGGGTTGTGTACTAATGGTTTTCTCTGGGTTATCATACCAAATCTACCTCAAGTGGAAGAGGCTGCAAAGGTGGCAGAAGAAGAAAAAGACCTAAAGGGGCCCTCTACCAGATTGTATTTGAACCGTCCCCACGGTATACTATGATTGCATCCCTGAGGTTCAATGATATCCCAATTTTAAGTACAGATTGGATGTAATTTTGAACAGATTTCCATTTGAGAAAACGAGTAATCAGTATCGGTTAAGTTGTCAACTTATCATATCAGGGTTTATTAAACAAGGCTTTAGTTACATCAATGCACAAGGTAGCCAGCTGTAATTGTCTTTTTTTTTTTGTCTACTTTTTAGTCTTTTGTCAAGGTAAATTGAGAACAAAGGTTTAAAGATAAGTAGGGCAGGAGGGGTGGACGTTGCATATCAAAACAGTCAAAACACCACCTTACATGGAGAAACTAGACGGCCAATTGGTTCACTTTATTTTGTACAAGGTTCCCTCCCTCCAGTATTTAATTTTACTCCCTGCTTTTCGCTTTTGCATTGGTAATAATAACACTTGCCCACCACTATAGCTGTCATGCCCTTCATCATGATCTTCCTTAATTACACAGAGCTCCAACACTTCTCTGTAAACATCATCCGCACTAACACGACGAGATCTGATGGTTTCATGTAGGAAGGAGATAATAAAGGAAGGGTCTGTTTCTTATCCCTGCTTGATCAGACAAAACGGGTAAGTTCTTTTGCTTTCTCTGCAAGTTTGCTGCCTTACATTCGAGTTCCTGATTTCATTGCTACCTGCTGCATCGTACTCTGAGATGCAACAAGAAGACAGCTTCTAATCCAGGCAATTGTGAGTAAAAAAGTGAAGAGCTTAATTCACACCAAAGCCAAAACACATATTCACTCAAACCATATGAGTTTCATTACATTTGAAATAAGGATAGAAAACCACAACATAACTTATTCTATACCACATGCACACCCAACAACACTAAATAGGAAATAAATCAAGTGGTTTATCCTCCTTTCCTATTTCATCTTTTTTCCCCGCTATCTTTTATCATATTTAGGCAAGTTGCCTATGTATAATTACACTCTAATGACTTCATATAGTAGGTTCTGTACTAGATTACAAAAAAAAAAAAAAAAAAAAAAAACTGGATTAGAATGATGGACTAAGAGATACCCGAAACCACTCAGAAGAGATGCAAACAGAAGAATGACACACACTAACAAGCACACACTAGTTTTAATGTGGTATTAAGGTAGTACTCCCTAGTAGGGGGGGGAAGAAATTAATGGAACTCAGGACATCTTATTGGATGTGTCTGAGAAGCTAGAATGCACCAAAACATTCTGAGCCAATGAGCTAGGAATGCAGATCGTTAAATGCCCTGTTGTAAAATTCCAGGCAAAGACTGCAACCCTAGGACATAAAAAAGAAAAAAGTGAATGAGAACTCAATATGAGCTATGTTTCTCAGGAAACAAATTATGAGGAATAAGTCTATACGGGCCATAGACCGATGTTGATTTTATTATAAGAGATGATAAGAGGTTATTTATAAACTATGGAGGAGGACTCGTTTGCAAGGTGGTGGTTGTGAAAGATTGTTTCCTGTATTAGAAGGGGACTCCATTCCGAGGGTCTTAAGTAGGAAGTTCCTTTCCTAAAAAACAAAAACAAATACAGTGGTCAGTCTTGTGTTGAAGTTTCGAGACAATGTGACTATATGTGTATGCTTGCAATTCTGTGCTAAATTAGAAAAAAGGGAAAAGGACTACAAGCAAAAAGTATGTGTGTATGCTTTCATTTCTGTGCTAAATTAGAAAAAAGGGGACAAGACTACAAGCAAAAACAGTTCATTAGCTCTATCTTGAGCTTCCCATGCTCAGCCAAAGAATATAGGATACAAGGGAACAAATAGAATGAAATTTACAAATGGAATTTTAAGAACCTAAAATAACTCACTGAACCAGTATTACCACTTGCATGAATAAAATCCCCCAAAAAAAATCTTATATTAAAAATCAGGGTTAGAAAGATCCTTTTCATTATTTGGAAAAACTACCATCCAGGTTATTTTTCTATGGGGATGGAGGAAAGCAAGATTCCACTAAAGCAATGACCAGGATTCGTCCAGGTCTCACTTGGTCTTGAGATGATAACATCTATGGGATAATTCATAGAAACTATTAAGTGTATTTTAAGTATTAAAGATCGTATGACTTTTAATTAAATTTTGATGATTAGTTATAACATATATGGGATAATCCATAGAAACTAATAAGTGTACCTGAAGTATTAAAGCTCATCTGACTATTAATTAAGTTTTGATGATTAGTTATTGATACTAGTTTACCTTGCACATACAAAATGGTCAATTGGTGGTCGGTTCCTTTGTTAAATGCAGAAAAAGTGAAAGTGGATAGCTACCAATAATGAGAAATATTTATTAGCGAAAACAAGTGAGAAAATTCTATAACAAAAATAAAGGTGAGGAAACGTTTCGAACATTCGAGTCGAACAAGAATGCTTCAAGACAAAAGAAGAGTCACAAAGGTTGGTGGAACAGGCAGTTCAGAATAACTTACACTTTCTGAAAAATTTAGGCTGGGAATTCCTGCTGCTAGAGATCTGAAAAGTGGGGTAACTTGGACCGGGGAACTGAACTCTATGCTCGATGTGGTAGAAGCAACTATGTTGTTTGTTTGATCGTTACATGATGGGATTATCTCGACTGCGGTAACATGGGAAATTTGATCAGAAATATCCTTATCCACTTTATAGTTATAAACAAGGTATTCCTAGGCCTTATACCATATACCAGGTTTTGTTACCTTGATTTGTGTTTGCTCCAGAAGAAGCCCTTTTCTCCTCTTCGTTCCCGCAATTCTGTTCTATGATAGGACTTGACAGTATATCCCGGTGCAGTGCATCTATCTTAACTTGAGTTTCTTCTCCAGCTTCCCCAGCCGGATGAGGCATCAGTGTCGACCCTGTACTGTTTTTGGAGCTGGCTGGAGATGCCTTATACAAATCAGGTTGCCTAGAACATATTAATTGTCAGTTATTGCTTAGTACAAATCTGAACTTTTAACTGATTTTTCTATTACCTCCAAAACGATTGAATTCCCTCGTTACTGCTCCTTAAACCCTCAAACAAGTCTTTGAAATCTTCTAGTTGCAAGTCATTATCAGACATTGTATATCTCAGGATGTCATTTTCTTTACTCTGATTCAAAAAGTCTTGGAGAATCTGAATATAACGTAGGATAAAGTTTAGGGACACAGTACAACGCATGGGTTGAACTGTTAGTCTGTTAGGCCCGAAATATTTAAGATTTAGCACTTTACCAACTGTGAGCTACCATCTTTACAACACAAAAACATATCGAAAATAAAAAAATTATTTCTCACCTTCCAAGCATTTTCCAGACTTTGTTCTGTGTTGTCCAAGTTAACTTTCAATGTGAGTGAACTGAGTAGCTCCGCTTGCTGCATCAAAGCATTTATCTTTGGATCGTCCTTTATGAGAAAGGTACCTTGATTTATATTATTCTGAGCTCCTAATCAATAATGGAGGAAGAGAATGTAAGTGTACAATCTGAAGAAATTTTAAGAAGAGAGACTAATAGAAGAATGTGTGCACAGTTTTAGCTAAACTACAAAGAGGTTAATAAATATAGGAACTTCTATTTGCAGGTTTAACAAGAGAAATACAGGTGGCAATGCCAAGAATTGTTGTTGGCATGAGGTGATTTACCATCATTAGAAACCTCTTTAACATTGTTGACTTGAGATTGCACCACGATACTGTTAGCATTGTGAAGATTTTGACCCAAAACTGCAAAAGGATGTCTTAGCTGCTGATTCATCATTGTTCCAGACACTCTATGTGCTCTATCTCCAAAATTGCAGTAATCTGAAACGTGGTATCTCCTGAATTGGAAAAAAATAAAAGACATTCAATTTGTGGAACAATATCAAGTCATTACCATGTATTTATGTATTTAAGGTACCTCATTCTCTTAACAGAACCAGTGCAGTCTGCCGTTCCGTCTACATTCAACCCATTTTTAAGTAAAATTCTTTTGTTATTTGGGTTTATACATGTACTATTCTCCTTTTCTAAGGCTTCATACTTGGCTTTCTTCTTGCACAGTGTGGAGAATCGATTTTTAACAGCATTATCCGTTCTGCATTAATAATTTACTCGATAAAAACTGATAACAAAAGGATCACTTTTTCCATAAAGCTAATCTCAGTTAGTTCATGCAACCATAAAATCAGGGTTTGGAATCACAGCTTTTGTAATCCGAAACGGAAGAAACATAAGTATACCTGCCTGAAACCACCTTTGCTATTTCGGTCCATCTATTGCCAAAAACTTTCTGAGCCTGCACATCAGCATAAGCCATCTACTTTAATGAAAATTTCAACTCCTATTGTACCAGTAAGTAACATGCAATGAACTGGCACAACTGATCAATCATAGTAACAATTCCCCCAATAAATCAGCATTAAATAAGTTTTTTTTTCAAAAAAATAAAAAAACTGACCCCATTAACTTAAATGAAAATAGACCACACAAAATGGATATTACCTCACATAAAAGCATATCTTCCTCTGGTGACCATCCTCCTTTCTTGAAATCTGAAGTCAAGTATGTGTACCATCTGTGTTTTTCAAAGACATTATATGAGTTTTAAATGATCAAAATACAAGATCATCAGTTTGAGCATCAAGGTTTCACCAACCTTCTTCTGCACTGCCTTGTTGTTTTATCCTTGAATTTAGAGGCAATGATTGCCCAGCTGCAGTCGGAGATTCAAAAACACAAACCCCATCAGTTTTCATTCAGCATTGAAAATGTATCGAAAACACTTTTAATGAATAGAAAAAAAAAGCTCACTTTTCAGTTCCATGTGAACTGATTTGTTCACGAAGGATATCATCTTCCTGCAACAACCCCCAGATAAAGAACCCATCAAACTAATCAAAGAATATCACCAAGCACACAAATGAAACACAAGAAATTAACAGAAAAGAAAAAACCTCTTGAGTCCATGTGACTATATGACGCTCCTTCTTCTTGAAATCTTCATTGCCACCATTCTTCTTCTTTGTTTCCTGCTGCATCATTTTCCCTTTTGTTTTTGCCTTCACCTCTCAGTTCCTTGACGCTCCCTTCCCCTTTTATTAATTCCCAGGTGGCATATGCTAGAAAGCTACTGCTTTTCTCACCCTTTATTAAAAATGAAATTTTTTTTAAAAAAAAAGGGCACTTGCTTACTGTTTGATGTTTTCTACAAAATAGCTTACTGTTGGGTTGAAATGGAATCCAAACAACTCTCTGCTTTGTTCCCTTTCTACTTCCTTCCTCAAATTCTAACCTTTTATCCCCTCCACTTGGAAAATTGGATCACAAAGTCCCCGCTTTCCACCACCCCATCACTAAAGCTTGCGGTTTTTATTCAAATATACAGTTTTACGAATAACCCCAAAAGGATACATCTGAAACGGAATAAAGATTGAAACTTTGGAGAGGAAAATAAGACTGGCTCATGAATGATCTGATCTGAATGTGAAAATGGATTTATATAATTTGTCGGTTTTTCTCTTTCCTATTGGATTTTGTAGGATATTGATTTCTGGATTTAAAATATTAATTTAAATAAACGGATTCTTGCTTTAGTGCGCGGGTATGAGGGGGAGTTTGAAAATTGTTTTGTTTTTTTTAAAATCCATAAATAAATATCGCTGAATTTCATGACATCCGTTGTGCTTTTAATGAATGCTTCGCGGACTAAGCCCACTGTGCACTTTAAGCAAACCCCAATTGTATATATTATCATTATAAATAAATAATGTAAATTATTTTTATTAATTTAGATAAATTAATATTTATTTAAAAGATTATTAATCATTTGATAGTAAATATTTACGTATCCTTATAAACATTATGTTTAAACTCATACCTCCAAGATAAAGATCATTCTTTTAACCATAGTTTGGTTGTGTCAAATGATGTAATATTTTAATATATAAATTGTATAAAATTTATTTTATATATTTTTATATCATTTATTTTTTTTAAATTAGGGTTTCATATTTTAAAATTCAAAAAAATACGTTATTAATATCAAAGTTTTTAAATTAAAAGGAAACAAAAAGTAATTATATCATTTTATAAAAATAATAAATAAAATTTTGGTTAATACTTGTCTTTTAATCTATTTGTAAGGTTAAAAACTATATCACTAATTAATACAATCCAATAATAATAATAAAACCATAATACATTTTGGATGTTATAACAAACTCACATTACAGTTGAAAAAATGTATAAAGATATATTTATCAAAATTTGTTTAACAAATAATCTTAAATAGAATAATGAATCATTGGTATTAATCTTGAGTTCAGTTTTTAAATAATACTTTTTAATTTATTCTATTTAAAGTTAATTTATAAATAAAAATATTATTAAAATATTATATATTGTACTCTTATTACACGACTCGATTAAAATTTTAAAATGTTATCTCAAACTTCTATTAAGCAAAAGCCTTGGCGTCTCATTTTATAACAATATATTAATTAATGCTTTTTATATATTTTTGTATGAAATAAAATATTTTATAGTTTCATTGATTATTGAACAAATATATTGTCTTATCTTTGTTTCTCATATTTTTTTAGGTTATAAGTTTTAGATTCATTGTGAACACTACTCTTCCTTCCGTTAAAGTCCTCCATTCCTCTACACTCTAAGTAAGATTATGATTAATTTTATTGATTATTTTAAATTAATACATTAGATAATAATATTGTTATATATTTATTTTATTTTAAGTATGATTCACATGTTAATTCGAAAAATAGTCGGATAATTTATTTATTTTCCTTTTCTGAATAAAGGATAAACTTAAATTAAAGGAACTTGGCCTGCGCATAGCTCACTTGTTTACTATTATTCGCAATTTAAATTCATTGATTTTACGATTAATTTAACCTTTTAAATGTTAAACATGCGTTTATCGTGAACAAGACAAGACGCTTGGGGTTATTACCTGTACTCCTATGTGTCAGTCAACGCGGTCTGTTTTCATTGGGAAGTGAATTTCATTGGTATTAAAATAATCTAACATCTTTTTCCTTGATATTTTTGTAAGTAATATCCACCATTTTTGGAATTAAATGGAGTTAGTTGCTTTCGTCCAATTTTTTCACTTCTCCTTTGTTTCTTTCTCCGAAGCATATAAAAAATTACATTTAGATTTAGAGGAAAATACCAAAGTGTACATCAAAAGATCAGATAGGAAACTTCCTCTTTTGCCATCCTGTTGGAAGATTATAAAAAAGAGGGAAAACAATAACATTTTTTTTTTGAATTTTGTAATATATTTTTTTGGGTTAAAGGCGTAAAGCACACCAATGCTGCCCAACTAATGGTACTGTTTTATTAAGTTAATTGATTATTAAAAGTTATAAATAGTTCTCAGATTATATAGTGTTGCTTTGTTGAGTCCCTCGACTATTACAAGTTACAAATGTTTCAAACTCGTCTTTTTTTATTAAAAAATTAATGATATTTTTAGTTGAACATTAACATGCTGACTGTGATATGATAAAATTTGATCTCATAATCTTAAACAACTATCATATTACAATTATCATGCTAATGTCCAACTTAGACAAAAAAAAATCATTTTTTAACAAAAAAGAATAAGTTTGAAACATAATGAATAGTTAGGTGACCGTTTTGTAACTTTTAATAGTCAAAAGACTTAACAAAGCAACATTCTATAGTCGGAGGATCATTTTATAACTTTTAACAGTTGAGAGACTTAATAAAATACTACCCTATAGTCGGGGGACCATTTGTGTACTTTACCCTATTTTTTAAGCGTACATAAACACTTAAATTACTAAAAGTCGTTTAATTGGGAGTTTAGTAACAAATATGTCAATTAATTTTTTTACAAAGATTTCCTTTTATTCTTAAAATTGAAACAAACGTTTAATACGACTTTATATAATAATATTTTTAGTCCCAAAATTTATACATTTTATTAATTTTATCATATTTCAAAAAAATCAATAAATTAAACCCTTTATATTTAAAAAAATTCATCAATTTAATATTTTTTTTACAATTATGCCAAACTAAATGTGTCCATTGAATCAAAGTAGTAGTTAAATAACTATATTTTGTCATAAACCAACAATAATTAAGGTTAAGTTATTATTATACTAGGAAAATAGTTAACATTCTTTTAGAGAATAACAAGCAATTTTTATAAGAAGAACAAAGATTAAAATGATACAAATTTTAAATATGAAAGGTTAAATTTATTAAATTATTTTGAATTATGATTAAATTAATAAAATGGTATAAGTTTAAGGAATAAAACTATTATAACATCATATCATACCACTACTTTATCTAATATTCAATTACAGAATGATATGTTTGTAATAATATTTTAATTAAGTATATGTTTGACATGTTTATTATCAAAATCGTAATTAAGTGACCCAATTAACATCTAAATAATATATTAATTAATTTTCTGTTTTGATGGGTTGAGTATGCTTTAACTCAAACGCGTGGCAAACATTTGTAGACATTTTTCAAAAGTCAAAATTTCATCCAAAAGTCAAATATTTTGGCTATCATACGTTTTTCTTTAGTCAAAATTGAATCAAAATTCACGCAACCCTATTTCAGTTGTTGGAGTTGAAACCCTAGAAACTACTTTTGTCACACCCCAATTTAGGGGTTGGATTTTATTAATTTAAGTATATTTAAAGGACTAAATTACAAGTTCTAGAAACTTGCAACTCAGTTTTGAAACTTTGGGAATTTCAGGGATTTAACTCTGAATTTTCTCATTCGTCCTTGGCAATGAAAAATAAACTCCGTGAAATCTCCAATTCCCAATTTCCCCCAAATCTCAAACCCAAATCCCTAGCTCAACCCGTTGCCCCCGTCGCCTCCAAATTTGTTTTCGTCTGGCCACCGTTCAACCTGTCGCTACTGCCATTTTGCTCGCCGTCGATCGGCAACCAAAGCCCGACCACCATTTCACCGTAGGACGATGTCATTCATCGTAAAATGCGTCGTAAAGCTTCGTCGTCTCCACCCCCGATCACCTCGCTTTTACGTTGATTCCGGTCAAACCGTCAACAGTCGTGTCTCACTGCCCCCAGCATCATGTTCCCCAGCCTGTTCTACTCAAAACCTGACACGTGGGTCACTGCATCATCATCGTTTCATCGGTCGTCCGTCGTTGGGTAAGTTTAGTTTTATTTTCGGTTATTTTGGTATGGTTGATGGTTGTTTTTGGTGATATATTGGCTACAAATGATGTGTAGATGCTCCTGGAAGAATCTGTCGATCGAACCGCCCTTGCTGATGTTTCACGCGTTCTACGCACCGTCAGGTGCATGTGGGGCTTGTCCCCATCTCTGGTTTCTTCTAGAACCAGTCCAGCCAGTCTGGACCGATCTAAACCGGCCCATTTCGACCTGACCCGACCCATTGACCTTAACCTGACCAGTTAACGATCTGACTGTTGACTTTGACAAAAAAAAGTCAAAATTTCTTAAAAATCCTATTTTATGTTTTTCGATGTCCTAAATACGAATATGAAGTCCATTTTGCCAAATTCGCACCCGGTAATACGTTTTCAGTGTTTTATCTTTCGATTCAATTTGGTTTTTCGATTAAATTCAGTTTCTGACGTAAATTCGTTTGCTATGTATCCGAGACATTATGGGACATGGAATTAACGTTCTAGGGTGATCGGATGGAGTTTAGATGTTCATCTATGGAGCACAAAAATTGAGATAATACTCTACTACCTTTTGTATGCTTTCCGGAACACATTGATAATTGATAAATGCATGAATGAAAATAATTGGTCTATGAGGTGTATTTAATTATCAATTGGACTTAAATTGAATATGGAATAACGACAGAACATTGTAGAAGACTTAGAGTGCTCGCAAAAGAAATTGGTAGATCAATCATAAATAATTTTAAGTCCATGAATTTTGTAATAATAAACTGATCTCAAAACCCAAAATTTTGATTTATTTCTTTAAAGGTTAAATATGGAGAATATGTGATTATGAAATTATGAAAATACTCTTATGAGGTAAAAATGACCAAAATACCATCTGAGAGTAAAATGACTATATTATATAACCAAGTTGAACTAAATGGAAGTATCGTAGGTTTCTGAAGT